AAACGTCTAGAATAACGAAGTTTCGATTTACAATAGCATGATAACTACTTTTAATCTACAAATTCAAAAGACCTTATTGCGCAGAACTTACCACCGCACTAATATATAACCGAAATAATTAAATACAACATATCGTTTACAGTTCAAAACCTTAAGTGTGCAATCACGAACCAAATTCCAACTAAATAAGTACTCTATATATAGCGTTTTGCTCAATTGACTTTACTCCCCTTATTTGTAAACCTTCTCAATGAGCTTTTTAGAAAGGAGTTTTGTCAATAATCTAAATATAACATTTAATCAACTTGAGAAATATCGCTTATGCAAGAGCATTATAAGGAGCAGGGAAGTAAACGGTCTTCGATAGGGATCCAAGAAGAGCCTTTTTTTCACCTTATCCAAAGTTTGATATAACAATAAAAAATCTTGAAACTTTCATTATATCATAATCCTCCTCTCTTGTTCAATCTGTCTTTTGGTCTTCCCATTAATTGTGTGCCTCGTGACTCGTTAAGAATCTATTAATGTTAAATATCTCCACAACAGTTCCTAGTATAAAAATCAAATCTAACTAAGCCCGCCTACCCTTTTCATATGCAAGAATAACATCAACCAAAGATTATATAGTTAAAGAAAAAAACATGAGCACAGACAAAAAGTGGAGAATTTTAGTACTAATGACGTCTTGCTCATAATAGTGATATCTCTGCCCTTAATAAATATTCTTTCTCACACACCAAGTCTCCTTTTTTAAAAGTATTTAAATTAGAGTCGTCCTAAAGCAGATTGCAATGGACAGCAAAGTGTAAGCAAGTATTCAATTATCTCAATGTGGAGGCACCATCACATTTTATTAACCAGAGTTGCAATGAGCAATGAGAAAGTTCGTATATAGATTTAGCGTTTCTATCGAGTGAACAAAACTATAAATTTAAAGTTTAGACGTATAAAGACGCTTTTTGGCACCCAAGGCTTGGAGCTACGGATTGAGGAACGCTCAAGACTCACTCCTTTATTGGACCAATGGGTGTTGTCTCTGAGCTGCGCCATCCACACAGCGAGACACAGGCAAAAACACGTTATAAGGTCATTATGATGATGATGGTTTTGTTGTTGGATCGAAGTCCATTATCATTTGCATGCTGTAACTGTAACTCATGCTCAGAAATGTCTTAGGGCTAGAGTGGGGAGTGGTTTAGCTCCCATGAACTCAACTCACTTATCAAATCCCGCTCGTCAGATACAATACCCCTGAGTTTAAAGAAGTATATAGCAAGATTAACGCAAAAAACTTTGAAATCTCTGTTATGAAAAGGTTCGTGCGCCATTACCCTTTGCCACCTCATCTTATAGTTGGCGCTGACGCAATAAATTTTGCGCGCTTTAAGATGGGCAAAGACCATACTGTCCCTATGAAATATGAGTATTAAGACAGCAAAGTCTCGGTAATAGTCCATTTCGGGGTATCTACAAAAGGACTTCCGTGAATGCTATACCCAAAACTCTCCACAATTTAATTACAATACCTCTTATGGATATTTCCAGAAGTCTGATGTACACTTCTTGATATCACAAAATTCATCAACGAGTATAAATAAAGTTAAAGAGAGAGTTGGGTGTCCATCAAAAAGAGCCTATGCGGTTGGGCATACACCCAGCTTAATGGTTTTAACTGAGCCCCAACGCCCACAAACATTAATTATCAGATAAATAAATAGTTGGTTTTAGTTAAGTAGCGGAATTATTAATTGTTTGGTTTAACTTAGGAACGTGGTGGCGTCCATTTACTCCCGCTGTCGCGTCCTCAAATCTTGTGTTATCTTCTAGTTTCACTTTCAATATGCTGTCTCAAGAGTGGGTCTTTAAGGATGCTGTGCAGATTCTTGGGAAGAGGGAAAGTGTGTTTTTAGCGTTGACTTGACCATCTCAATCTGGCCTACCCATTCCCTTCCAAGGCTCAGTGTTACTGAGAGCGCTGAATTTTTTGTGGGACTCGTCCCCAGAATTCCAGAAAATCAAAAAAAAGGTCTCGGCTTTAAAAACAAATCCTCCAAAATTCACTAATAAGATGCTGCAAGTGTTTGGCATCACTGAGATATGATTACAACTTCGAGGCTCGGGTGTTTGCATATATTGGTCCTCAAAGAGCCGTTTATGTGTAATTATGCTCCTCCTGAAGGATCACCACTGCTATGCGTCTAACTCTATGCACAACACACATCTATGACCCTGGGGCAGAAGGTATTTCAAAATCTTTGAAGGCTACGGCTTTTCTTCCACCACACGAAACCAAATACTGATACTCAGTTCCTTGTGATAAGGGGTGATTGTCCATTAGAACAATTATGTCGGTGTGCCTGATATCAAATCAAGTGCAGCGTTTGCCACGACCTGGCAATAAGTGTATTGTATAACGCGCCTCCCAACCGGAACTTATTATATAGCCAAAAATAGGGTGATGAATGAAAATGCCTAATTATCCAAATCATAAGTAAATGTAAGGGACGTGTATCGGGGTTGATGAAAATTCTAGGCATCCAAGTTTGTGTGAGATGAGTGTCATAACGGAACGAGTTCCGACGAGCGACCTTATAGAGTTGTTACAAGTCCCATTGAGTGTTTTGAGAAAAAGACTTGAGGCATCCTGTCTAGTACAGGAAAATAATAAAAGGAGTTTGGTTCAGAGTACTCAAGCAAAAGAATCTGAGAATAGAATCAAAGGTAGAATTGACTCCAATGTTCTACACAATAGAACTCCCAAAATCACAATATTGGGGATTTACTAGTAGATGAGTGCTTCTATGAAATCCCATTGGAGAGATGTTATAAAAGCGAAGTCGACTATTCTCGGTTATTAAAGCGAATGTACTACCGAGGTGTGCGATACTCTCCTTAGAAGAGAGATCATAGTCCTCGCTGTATTAATTCCTCTAGCAAACCAAAAATCCGTACACTCGATATAAAATCAATAGCAAATATGGCGGTAGATATATTAGTCAAGATTGGGAGTCAATGAAAATCGTCTATAAGTGAGTGTATCTCACCTTGCCCGCTAGCGTGGAAGCTATAGAATACCGTAGACTTTCGCTGTTGCCCTACTGTATGACTTCTCCCGTGCAGTTGTTAACTCACACGAAGATATCTCAAAAGAAAGTTCTCTCTCGATTCTCGTTACCAAATTCGATAGTTGGCCTCTTATTACTAATGACAAGCATGGCTCCCTCTATGATAAAAACCCATGGGGGTATGCTCTTGAGATATGGGTACCCAATGGTTAAAAGATTGGTCGTATGAATAATAGAAGCTAATTAAGGTTTCGATTTTAGAATTCCAGAACCAACGGTTGTTTCTCACCCCCGATTTTTCATAAGCTTTTGGGTCTCTAGAAAGAGTTGATGATATTAGATATTTTTGCGGTGAAATTACTATGACCATGATACACTAGGAATAGGGTAATAAGATCTTAAGCTTTTTCCTGCAAAGCCGAAAGCCGAAGCTGTTTAGCCGTAACTTTAAAACTGAGCTTGAGACTTTTATAGTGCATTAGAATTTGTCTTAGACACTGAGGAAATAATTCATCCTATGCAGGTGATTAAATCAGATTTGCTGATCTCTGCATGAAATTCGCCTAAAAAACATATGGAGGGATTTATTTTAAGGCGGCAACTCTATTAGCCTAATAAAACTCAAGAAGTGCCCCTTTGGGTCCCTTTTTTTCATTGTTTGGAAATTTTAAATAGCGTGTACATGCTCTTGGATTTGCGCCACTGAGATAAATTGGTGTTGAAGAGGGTGTTGGAGCATGACAACAGATTAGGAATCGAACCAAACACTAACAATGGCATATAATCTTAAACCTCATATCTATGTCCCAAAGAAAGATCTGAATGAATCTCAACAGGAACATAAAGATTTAACCTACAAAATAAGAGAAACATATGCAAATAACAAACTGTAAAGGCTGATATACTGTATTAATCTAAGATTGCGTAACCTAAATGCTGGATCAAGACATTCTAATGAAAATACAATACAGAGATCAATATTGAACTCAACATGTAAGTAGGGACCATTAAAAAAAAAAAAAAAAAGTAAACGATGATGAAGTCTGCATAACTTTCCATCTTATTTTGGTTAAAGCAGATTGCCAAATGACAGCAAAGTGTAAGCATATCAACCATTGGAGGCACCATCACATTTAACAAATTATGGATAAAGTTGATATATTTCATAAAACATAAATAAATAAACGTTTTCCAAGCTTGTTGATCACCCTAAATGGTTTTGCTGCACGCCAAAATTAAGTCAATGGATATTGGTTCGAAGTCCATATCATTTGCATGCTGTACTGTAACTATGCTCAGAATGTCTTAGGGCTAGAGCTGGGGGAGTGTTTAGCTCCATGAACTCAACTCACTTATCAATCCCCAAGAAACAAAACAAAGTAAATGACGATGAAGTCTGCATAACTTTCCATCTTATTTTGGTTAAAGCAAATTGCCAAATGACAGCAAAGTGTAAGCACATCAAGCATTGAATGCACCATCACATTTAACAAATTATGGATAAAGTTGATAAATTTTTATAAACCATAAATAAATAAAAGTTTTCCAAGCTTGTTGATCACCCTTAATGGTTTTACTGCACGCCAAAAGTAAGATGGTGGATATTGGCTTGACGTCGTATCCCTTTGCATGTTTACTGTAACTATGCTCAGAATGTCTTAGGGCTAGATCTGGGGGAGTGTTTTGCTCCACTAACTCATCTCAGTTAACTGAGGTCTGATATGCCCAGATTCAAAATGTCAAAAGGTCTAAAATGTTAATAGTGCTGCAAGTGCCGATTCAAGGTCTCATAGTCCACAAGAATCTAAGACCTGAGTCACCTGACAACACATTGCTGCAGTTCAAATTTTGAGAGCTTTCTCCCAGACAAATTTATCACCTTGTGATAAGTGATGTCAACAATTAGGTGTGATGAATCATGCAGGCAAATGCATATGTAATAAGTAATAACTTTTTGCAAATGGAGACTATCCAAATCATAAGTAGAAGGTATCCGGTGATCTACTCCAATTTGTAGTGGCTACACGATGACAGAAGGTCAGCCCAGTTTGAAATGCATCCTTCTAGTACAGGAAAATAATAAAAGGAGTTTGGTTCATATGACTCAAGCAAGATCTGAATGACAGCCTGTCACCAATATCAAATTGCTGAGGGTCTCATGATTGAAGTATCATGCATCTCTATAGATGACTAGTGTCTCTTTAGAAGTACCGTTTCTGCATCTCCCTACAAATATGGGTTACAGATGTGAATTCCATTGTGAATTCCAGTACAGAATGCTTCGTGTTCCTAGCTCTGCAGTTTCTCCAAAATTAAAGAGATCTTTCCGTCAACCTTGGCATCTTGCCATCCCATTAAACCCGATACCATATTAAAAGCTAAGAAAGTTTGAAAACGACACTTGTTCTTCCCGATTCAAGCTTGGGTTTGAAATATTGAAATTTTACATGTCCTGAAGAGGAAATCTTAGCTCCTGCAGCCAGCAGCGTCTTACTGGAGCTTTTATTGATCTAAATGGATCTTCTCAATCTGTATCATTTGATCTGCAAATACAATGAGGGTGCACAATATACTCAAGTGCCTTTTGGTCCCTTTTTTTCTTGATATAGCTTTGCATGCCTGGATGATGAGGGGACATAAAACCACATGAACACACTTCAGACAGCCACAGAAAGATTAATACAATAGCATATGCTACACTGTGATAATACAAGTTGTACAGCAAACATTTAGTCCACAAGCATTGACAGAAGACATTTGGAATGAAAAATAAGAATACATTTAAAACAGGTAAAACACATAATTGCATTGACTAATGTTACAATCCTATCAAGTAAAAACCTCAAGAAATGCAACATGAAGTTAAGTATAACAGTTCAAAGTGATAGGAAGAATATAAAGGTACCTTGATTAGGAAACGTGTTTACAATGCTTATAACCTCATCTTTTGATATGCCATCCTTCTCATACATTCTATGAACAATGTTCACAATATCTTCATGGTTAGGCTGCCTGTACCACACAATATTTTGGATGTCAATGTAGCTCACTAGATTGTCACTGGACAAGGATGGGATCTTGTGTGAATGGAAGTGCCATGACATGTTATTTTCAGTAAGTGTCCTAATTGGAATAAACTAAATTGCACTCTGCAAAATGTGAAAGTGTCATTGGTGTTTGTACAAAACAAACAAGGAGCTAAAATATAAAACCGTATTGATTGTTTGATGAATCATGTACCAGTAAAATTTTTCCATTCTTCCATCACGAATCAAGGGGGCATAAATCCTTGAAAAGTCATTTCCTGTCACAATGATAGGAATTCTTTTTGTGACATCTGATTCTCGCCAATCTTGTCCAATACTCACTCTTGTAGGATTATCAGACAGATTCATTAGGGTTCCAACAACAATTTGATTATTCACTGTCATTTGAGTGTTTCCTGAATAAAAAGAAATTGTATATATTTCAAGACAAAGAATGAATATAAGAAAAAAAGAAACAAAAATGTGCCAGTTACTTCAAGGTGAGTAATTTGATGCTAAAAATCCTAAAAACCATAACAGTGTACACAAACACAGTAAAGATGTAAAAGACATCATAATAAAATGGAAGGCAATGCTAAAACTGTGTAATTAAATCATTCAGGCCGGATTCCAGAGTTCAAATGTAAATGTATTCGTAGCTCACCAAATCTACCAAGGCCAGCATCAATATCATTGATCATCAAACAGCTCATTTTTCCCTGCATTAGTTAAGGGAAACTGGCCAAATTGGATTAATGACTTAAAGAAGTCCATTAAGTAACAGCAGCATAAATCTTTCACATTAATGGATCAATATGTAGAGTAAACACTGCACATAGTTCAACCAAATTAACTGCACTTAGTATCACATCAAACTAGAAACTTGAGCCTTACATAAGCCCATATTCCCACTATTACGTGGACTGAAGAGAGCCCATTCAGTCAAATGATTTCAAAAATATATTTGACAAACATAGAAAAAAGTTTTACTTCTTAACATAGAAACAATCTTTTTCCCACTTTTCACACAAAAAAATAAATAAATGAGAACATATGTTCTGCATATACAACCAATAATACATTGTTGATGAGTACAACTAAATTATACTAATGGTATCCAATTTCATACTTAGTTTCACTAAAGTCACATAACATCAATTGCAATCTTTCCAGTCACTAAATTTTGGTTTTAGTTTCAGAGGGATGTCACTTACAAGCGATCAGTAATCAGAAATACTAGAATGGCACTAAAACCAAAATATCTCATTAAAAAAAAAGAAACAATATGGAAATCACAAGGGGACTCCATTGCTACTATGTAAGCAACATGGATTCATATATGTAGCCTATCAGCTCAGCTTTACTTTTGCAATTGGAGGATTTGATTGTAAGTACATTCAAATCAGACTCTTTGGATGTTACCCGCCTGTATTATCTTTTCAGGAATTTCCGGGTCTGCAAATGTAATTTTGTGTAAGATGAAGTGCAAAGAGATGCATTAGATGGTGCAAAGGCTATTCTCATCTGATAATAGTGACAACTCAAGATTATTTTAATAAGAGAAAGTCAGTAGATTTGAGAGGAGAAAAAAAGAGTTGAAGATTCACAAGGCCAACACATTGAGGTATAAAAATAAAAAAGAACCAATATCATTATACGCCTCACATATAGCAACACTATTAAAGTCATGACCCTAGACATACATATACCAATATTGAGAATGGTAAAGCTTCTAACTTGGTTCTGGACCACTTGAGAAGCTGTTCTATAGCGTTCTCGGATCAGTTTTCCAGGTTCTCCTGAAAATGGAAGAAAATATTATGCATATGTGTGATTTCACATTTAAATTAATGTAACCAAGAAACAAATCTAGTAAGTTTATTTATTACAGGTTGCAGGGAGTCCATCTTACCAGCTCTTTCTGATTCTAGTTCTCCAGCAGACATAATTACAGGTTCAACTCCCATGGCTTGAAAAATAAGCTCAGTCTGAAATGATTTTCCTTGTCCTTTTCCTCCCCAAATACCTATAAGACAAAGCATTAATGAATGGCCACCAAAAAAAAAAATTAAATTTTCAATTCTCCTAATGTGGAAAAATGTGAAGCCACATGTTGGAGAGTATTACTAGAAATAGGAACACTACTCAGCACTTATAAAAGTGGCATAGAGATTACTAATTTGCTTGGAAATATATGTAGAAGATAACCCTGTTAGCACATATATAAAATGTCTCTAAGGGAAATAATTATATGCTACCATGTTTAGAAGTAAGATTGAATTGTGAAGAGAGGGACTGGCAACTGTCAACCAACTCTAACCAACATTTCTCAACTTTGACAATGAACAATAACTTGAATCAATACCTAGGATTAAAGGAACTTTGACATCGAGAAGATGAGCTATGTAGTTCTTCACAATGTGGCATACTGCATTAAGAGCAGAACACGTAAAAACTATGTAAGCAGTGATTTATATTGTTATACATGTTATATATAGTACATGACAAAGTTGCATAAAGCTTGACATAAGATTATAGTAAGAGATTACAATTTATTCACACACCATATAATTACAACAGATACAAGTTATTCATACATTGCCCTTAAAGGGTTACACAGTTATACTAATTAAAAATGGAAGCCTTCCACAAAAGCTCCTATCTGAGCCAGTGGTTAAATAGTATCAGAAACATAAATGTGAATTTCATCATTTTCTAAATCATGCAAATTTCTGCTACTATATAGTCTTATTTCAACAAATAAAATTGAAAATCACATCAACAATCAGTGGAAAGAGGTGTGCTGCTAAGGCTTTTGTGCATGCAAAGCTACGAAATCTTGTCAGTTGGCAAGTTTACAAAATATTCTAGAAATGCCAGCATTTCCAGATTGAATCATGTTTATATATGCCATATGAAAAGGAATAATAACTCATCACATGCAACCTAATTTCTTATATCCATAAATTGGTCCTGCAATCAATGAAGTTCAGTTGACCATTAATGTCGGAATTCTCTTGCACATATTATTACATTGACAGGTAAATGGTGAAACAAGTTCCTTGTTTGCCAAAGATTGAGAAACAGAACTATGTTATCCTCTTTCCTAATAAAGAATCTCAAGGTTTTGAAAACTAGAAGTGTTATAGACAAACTACCAAAGTCCAAAGGGAGCCCTTGCAAATTGATGCTGGTTACCAAGTAGCCAACAGAAACTTACTAATCAAGCTTTCCATCAAATGACAGCAGACAAATAACATTAAATGCAAGAGGGAAATTAAGGCTCTGTATCAAACATATCTCACTGACATGTTGACAATTATGCAATTAAAGCAAAGGCTAAAAAATTGCCTACACATCATATCAAATATAACCACTTCTTGTGCCCTTATAAAACAAATAGCAACAGAAATTGACAAGATTCATACGAAAAAATTAAGATCACAAATAAGACAATAATTCAATTGGATAGTAATCCATTTCTACCAACTTTTATTACTCCAAAAAAAAAATCATCATAGTTTCTCCACCTTTGCCCAAACCTACAACTTACCAACTTTATCCTGTCAAAAAACAAAACACAAAATTGGAACATGATGAATATCCAAGAATTCATAATCCATAGATAAATTACTAAACAAAAAAGGAATAAAAAAAAAGTAGTTTTAGCTCCTAAACTCTGTATACAACATCGACTAGAGAAAAGAATATTTCTCCACAGATTTTGCACAACATCTAGTCCTAAATTTTCTACAAATAGGAACTTTACATAAAATCATTAGCGACCGAGCATCAGAAAGCAAACAGAAGTTACCAAGAACACAGGAGCGATGTAATAATCGCCTTTAAGATACTCAAATGACCTTGTCACTTTCTGACGGTAATCAAACACAATATCCGCTGCAAAAATAAAAATGAAAAAAAAAATATCCTAAACGATAATATGCTAACTGTAATAAACAATAAGAACCAAAGGAAAGAAATATTACAATCTTTTCCAAGGAAATTTCCGGCGAAAAGAGGATCGATGACGCCAGCTCTGGCGCCGACAGCAATGTTCATGTTATCAGCCTCTTTGCCCAGCCTATACAGATAATCTTTCCCCTCCGAATCCTTGGCTTCCCATGATGACTGCTCCGATAGTCTCTTCTTGGGCGTTTTCTCGGCGCTATAGTGATCATTAGAGGATGGAGAGTTTGATTGAGAGCAGGAAGTAGGGAATTGAAAAGGTGCGATTCTTTTGTTGTAAGAATTTGAAGGCGTAACTGTAAAGAGAGATTGGGGTTTCAAAAGAGACGAAGAGGTAATGTTGAACAGAGCCATTTTTGTTGCTGTTGGTAGTGGTGTGGGGCTTTATTGATCGGGGAGATTACATTGGGAGTATTTGGCGCCACATAGTTAAAGCGTTCTCCTGCTTCGTGTGCACAGAAACGAACTTGCAGATTATGAATGGGGTCCACTGTACACCCCATGTCCAGTCTTGCCGCCTTTTTTATTATAAAACTTCTATTTTTAAAATTTTATTTGATATGAATACATTTATATTTTTCGGTATAGATAAAATAAAATAAAATTTATTTGATTCAGGTTTTATTAATTAATTTCAAAAAAATTCAAACGAAATTAATAATTTATGTATACTGATATTTTTCAAATAACTCAAATTAATTTTAAAATAAATAGTAGTTTGTTTTTTTATTCAAATTTTAGCTAATAAAATGTTTCAATTACAAAGCAATTTTTTAGAGAAAAGAAAAAAAAAGAAGATAAACATAGGAGGTCAAATTGCAAAAGTAAAAAAGAAAATTTGAAATGATATTTATTATTAGGCCATTATTGATCTATGTTAATATGTTTCAATTTCATAACTAGAGTCGCTTTTTTACCGAGAGTAAATGGGTTTCCACAATAATTAATCAAAGTCAATTAGTTAAAAGAAATTTATCATATTATAGATTTGAAAATAACTGAAAAGTTCCTCAAATTATATTGCCACAATTATAATAAAGTGATAGACATATGAAATCAATTGCTTCAAAAATAGATAAAGGCATTATTCAACATTTATTTTAACTCACTGAATATTTTAATCTATAAAATTACACTTATATATTTATTTTATTCAACATACTAATTTATAATTTGATTAAACACTATTTTAAAGTTTGAAAATACAATACCGTACTAGTCCTAAATAGGTAGTGCATTTTGCATTAATAGATGAATGGGAATTATGATAGCCAAAACATCATAGCCATTTATAAACAATATAGCTAAAAAACAAAACAAGAAGGTAATCTACTTCACTTAAACACATAATTTCCCATGAGGAAACATCTTCCTAGTAAAATTGTATGCATATATAATAAATAATTCCTCTCGTACTTCAATTACCGAGTCTAACTAATTTCTCTGACAACCACCATGGCTTGTTGTCCACTCTGATTCACATCCATAGCAAAACTCGAACTTGCACCTGCAATTATATTATCATATGCAGGATTATAGTTTAAAACAAAATGCAACTTAACTATTATATGGTATAAGTGCTACCTAGCTCCAAAGTTTTTTAAAATTTGTTTTTTAAAAAATTAAACATTTTTCTTTTAATTTAACCCCTTTTAGCTTTTGAAATTTTTTTATTTAGTTTTCTTTCCAAGAGTCGAGGTATTAGTTGTTATAATAACTATCAGCTATTAATTAAATATTTATTATTCAGCAGAAATAATTATGTAATTAGCTCTTAAATATGAGTTAATAGTACAGAAAAATTTGATTAATTATTGTTAAAATGCTAACCAAATAATTTAAAAATGATACCTTTAACAATGTTGCCAAATTAGTTTAAACCAAACACCCCTACTGTTTTTGACAACCCCTAATCATTTTCTTATTTAAAAAACTTTACTTGGAAACTTTTTCTCATTAGCTAGTTGCTAATTTTATTTTATGTTGTATTTTTTTTAACTCAATAACCTTTATTAAATTTATTAATGAAAAAAAATCAGACTTTTGTAAATTAAATTTTGATATGATTAAAAACTATTAAAAATAATAAATTATTATCAATACTGTATTTTAATTAATACTAGAAGAATTACTATTTATAAGCAAAACAAATTTATTTAAACACAGAATTTAACATAGAAATCGAATCAGTAGTATACTAACCTGCATGTTATATGTGGGCAACCTTCCGTTCTTTCAACATAAAATTTACAGCGAGGACATCTACTCCATTTCTGAGCTCTAGCAAGTTCCATCACCATCAAATCTTCCCTTCCTCTTTCATCCTCATTCAACCTCTGAAACACTTCACACTCAACTCCAGAATGCCAAGGCACATAACACTGAGCGCAGAACAATCTATGGCAAAACGGACACTCAACTCCATTTCTGAGCTCTAGCAAGTTCCATCACCATCAAATCTTCCCTTCCTCTTTCATCCTCATTCAACCTCTGAAACACTTCACACTCAACTCCAGAATGCCAAGGCACATAACACTGAGCGCAGAACAATCTATGGCAAAACGGACACTCAGACTCTCTAATAGCTTCTCCTCCACAATCACAATCATTCACCAAAAGTGCAGAACAATCCTTAAAAGGACAATAGAACTTCTCCCATTCGCTTATCATCTCCTTGCATAGCATTTCCTCCCAGATATCAATTACTCCCTTGGAAAGCTGAGATCTGCAAATGTCAAGTTCGAGAATTGCTCGGCAATTCATTCCTGGACAAGTAATAATAGTACAAGTACTATCTTGAATTTTTGCAGCTAGATGTTTGCTTATACAATCGCAGCAAAAAGAGTGAACACAGCTATCGATTTTGAACATTTGGTCGATTTCTTTTATTTCTACACAAATTTCGCAGAAAATGAGTGAAGATTCGCCCGTTTCTTTAGGGTTTGGCTCTGGAGATGGTTCAATCATTGGAATTGATGATGGAATTTTGTTTTTCACCTGAGAAATTATCAACGAGCCCATTGATTCCTCCTGGAATAGTACTTCCTCAGCGTATTGGGCGTTAGAGAGAGTTTCTTTTGCCATTGCAGAGAACTAGACAATGGATTGATAAAAGATGAGAAATAAGTAAATATAAAGGATGAGACCATGGATTTGTAAGGCGACTTCGCTTGGAAGGAGTCGTTCCCCATTGGAAAATGGAATCTACTTTCTGATTAATTTTTTTCTTGTTTTTTTTTTTTTTTTTTTTTTTTTTTTTTTTTTTTTTTTTTTTTTTTTTTTTTTTTCTTTTTCTGCATGACCTTTCCTTTTTCTTGATTTCGAATTTCTATTGCTACCACGTGCTTAACCCAACTTTTTTTTTATTAAAAAGACCAACCAAAATTAATAGCTTCTCAAATAGAATAAAGTTTTATGTTAGGGTAAAATTATATTTTGAAATAATATTAATGTTTTATTATTTTTTTTTGTGCATGATTTATAATTGGTAGGTTTACTTGCATCCAATATATGTACCTATTTATACATTAAATTAATTCTAAATAATATTTTAACGTATTATTTTGGCATTCACTAGAAAAAAAAACAAAACAGTGACATTTTTAATAAAAAAAATTTTTTCTAGATAATAAATTTCAAATTAAAAATATTCTCATTTGAGTTTTATAATTGATTTGATATACAATTACTCTATATATATATGTATTAAATGGGAAAAAACTTATTTTTTCCTTCAGCTTTTATAAAATTAATTAACTCGTATTTTTATATATTAGATATTTAGTCCACATTAAATTATCCTTCCGCTCAAAATCAAATGCTTTTTTCTATTAAATGAAGGTAAAAGACAAGAGAGAGGAGAGAGAGATATTTTAAAATGACATAAGGTACCCTTCAACTTTGTTTTCCTTACCAATTTTCCTCTGCTCTATTGTCTTCCTTCTCTCACCGCCACAGACCATATTTACTCCATCCACCACCGAGAAGGTGCTGCTAATTTTGTATTTCGAGGACAGGACTGGTGAAGCTTGGAGATTCCACTACTCCTAGTCGAAGAGCAGCCATGGCTAAGTCATTGACTGACGGTTGGATTGTAACAGATTTTGATTTGCCTGTATTTTATTTTGCTGTAGTTATGGCCAAAGCTTTATTTAAAGGTATTAAATGACACTGCTAATGTAAGAAGAAAAAAAAAAAAAAAAGGGGGAAAAAAAAAGGGTGTTTTGATATCTTAAAGCTTTAAGTACAATTTGATGTCTTGCCTTTGGTTTATATGGGCTTACTTATATGTATTTCTGCGATTATTGTCCAGAATTTGTCAGAGAAATGAAATGGTAGAAAACTACTTCATCCAGCTTCACAAAATTACACCAAAAAAAAAAAAACAAAGAAACAAACAGTAAAAAAAAAAAAAAAAAAAAAACACAGTACAAGTTCTGGAGAATGAAGAAGTGGTTGGAGAAGAAGGGCAGATTCTTGAAATGATTTTTTTTTTAATGATTTGTAATGCTCTCAAAGTGAGATAGAGTATGAATTTAATGGTTGTTTAATATATTTATTTATTTATTGAGTTTGTATATCAGCTGAAATGGAGATTTGAGGAGTTGAAGGAGAAGAAGAGGAATAGTGGCTTTAATTTTTGACTTTTCAAAGGGTATTTTAGTCTTTTACCGTGCATTTAACGCAAAGCTCATCAAAATTGGACAGAAAGATCGTTTAATGTGATGGACTCATACCTAATACGCAAAAATAATATAGACTAAATACCTAATATACAAAAATAAAAAGATGAGTTAATTAATTTTATAAAATATAGGGAGAAATAATTATTTTCCATATCAAATTTAAGGAAATCTCAAAGGAAAAATATGAATATTTTATTTATCAAATTTAAGGAAATCTCAAAGGAGAAATATAAATCTTTTTCTTCCATGATCATATAATACTTGTTTTATTATTCACCCCGACACATAGCTTGAAGATAATATACAACTTACATGATTCGGTGACTGGGCGGATTTCACGATCGATTCAGTTACTTTCTCGGTAGATATGCGCTAAAATTTGGTTTCGTCATTAAACGATTCTTCTGCCAAAATCAAATGCTTTTTTCTATTAAACGAAGGTAAAAGGCAAGAGAGAGGAGAGAGGAAAGAGAGATATTTTAAAATGACAAACGTTGCTCTTCAACTCAAATTTATAGTTTTGTAAAACAATTTAACTAATGTTTATTTTAATGAATGAAAAGGAAAAGTTTGTGTTTTATTTATTTATTTATTTATTTTTTTTTTGAGGAAAGTTTGTTATTAATAAGCATATTTTAAAAATCAACTCACAAGAAAAGAGATTTTGTCATTAGACAAACATACGTACAAGGCAGTGTCAAAACTCAAACAACTTTAAATACATCACCTATTAACATCATAAGTCCAATTGAAGGCAAGCCAGCCTACATTGAAAATATATTGATTTGTCTTGGGAATGATTTTGGATAACAATATTTTTAAAATTGGAAAAGAGGATTTTTCTAAAAATAAAATACTTATCCGTTGGAAAAGTGGAAACTAATTAATGTTCAAGCTTTTTTTTTTGACTCGTTAAATGGTGAATTGTAATTATATCCAACTGAACTTAAATTTCTGATCCTTTTTTTTTTTTTGGCAAATTTCACTAATTTTTATTGGAAAATTATATATATATAGGGTCTATTTTATAAAATTAGTTATTTTAGTAGTTATTAGCTGTTTTAATAGTGTTTAGTTATTAGTTATTTTAGTAGCTTTTATGAAACGCTAAAAGCTAAACGTTACGTGAATTAATTTCACAAAACGCTATCATAACCTTTAAAAGCTAGTCCAAACGCTATGTTACCAAATAATTTTTTAAGTAGTGTTTAGCGTTTTGATTAAAAGCTATTTAAAAAGCCGTTGTTACTGAACACATTCATAATAGAAGTACAAAGTTAAAATTATGCATAGTCATTGTCATTAATTAGCTTAGATAAGAAGCTTCATTATAAAAGGGGGAATCAATATAAAGGAAAAATAAAGACAGAATATATATATAAAGTGCTATTTAGTCCTAGGGAGAACAGCACGGTGGTTATGTAACATCCCTTCCCGGTCCACCCGTTAACCCGAATGAACCGAACCAAGACGCTACAAACTGGTTGACTTAATGACCTGTCATGCTGATTTGGATACAGACTTCTTATATCATGCTGATGCTGTTTACCATTAAAATGTATTAAATTTACAAAACATAAAAAATGTAATACTAGTTTTTTCAAAAATTGAAATGGGCCCAAACGTGTGCCCTGTACATTGCCATGAAAAGGACATTTATAGCAAAGAAATATCAAATAATCTTATAATTAATAACATACATAATTTAGTTCTAATTATACCATAAATCCTTTACATACACATTTAATCACACATATCATTATACTTTCATGATCTTACCTAATATTCCTTATGCTGTATGAATTAAATAAATAAATATGTATGCACACATAACATTATATTTTCATGATCTTACCTGATGTTTCTTATGCTGTATGAATTCAAGAAATAAACATGTAAGCACACATATCATTATACTTTCATTATCTTACTTGCTGTTCATTATGTTGTATGACTTATGTAATTTTTAGTCAACATCATATAAGTTATTCTCATAACTGTATGGCTTCATAAGGTTATAGTGAAACCTAAAAGATAAGAAGAACTGTATGAAACTGGATGAATACTGTATGGCTGGGCTGCTATGGCCATATATAATCATATCCACTCAACGGCCTGTAGCCGGAGTAACAAACTGTATATCTGCTATCCTATGTCGCGACAAATAGCCTTATTCTTACATGGTTTCTACCTAACCTCAATGGGAGGCATTTAATTTTGGTATGTCAATAGTATAAACACAACAGGCATATTAATTGGTTTCATAACTTCATAAAATCATAATGTTTACTTGGTTTCCACATCATTTTGCATGCTTGCATGTTGTTTTTGATTACATTGGTTCTTAGTGTTTGTCTTTTTGTTTTACAATGATTGGAGGCATTACAAGTGAGCAAAGGAATCCAATTGCATTAGAAAAATGAAGTTCCAAAAGAGCATAAAAAACACAACGTCACGAGTGCGCCATTGAAAAGTCGCTGGCGCGAGAAGCACCACAAGAGGGTCAGAGAGTTTACAGCCAAATTCGCGAAGTGCGCAATTGAAAGTCGCGAGCGCCAAAAAAAGCACCAAAATGAGATCAGAGGTTTACAGGACCAATTCGCGAGCGCACAATGAAATTCGCGTCGAACCCGCGCGTCGTTTGTTTTCCAGCCTGCGCGTCTGTACTCTTTTTGTCATATCTCTCAATATATAACTCCGATTTTGGGTGATTCAAAACCCTGTAAGGCTAACACATAAGAGGAACAAATAAATCTTCTAAAATAACTCTTCTAGACCACTTCCTAATTCCATCGTTAAATAGGGTCAAAATCAAGGTGAAGTTACTGGTAAATTTTTCAGCAAAACCTGTTTCAGTATAAACTCACTATTTACTTCATTTATTCATTTCATCCCATGCTTTCTCACCATTTTCAGTCCTCTCACTCAACATTAAGCAACATAGTGTCTCATTAGCAACACATCACACAAGTTCTCATGCAAAGAAAAGGGAAATGACAAGAGATATCAAACCTTCACTCCAAAAAGCTTGAGCTCTTCTTAGCTTCCTTTTTCTGCTATCTTTGAACTCACTTCTCCTGTACACATCAGAATTCTTATAACTTATCTACAATATAACTCAATTAGAGGTTGAATAACATAGAGCTTCAAGAAATTCTACTTACTTGGAGAAAATACATAGAGGTTGACTTTAATGCAGTTGAAGTTAAGGCTTAACTACCATGAAAATGGATGGAGAAAGGAAGGAGATGAAAAAGATGAAGATAAAGATGAAAATGGAAAAGTGAAATGGTTATTACGGGTAGGCCATCAAAATATCAATGAATTTTTATGTGAAACTTCCTAAATGGTACCTCAATTGTCAACAGGTGACTACTTAAGACCCAAGCTCGGTCTTTTAATGCAAATAAATCCTCACCATATGCTTTGATCTTTTTCTCTCACTCAAGTAAGTCCACTTATAATCCCATTCTACCCCAACCGGGTTTGGTTCAACTCGACTCGACTCGACTCTTTGGTTCAGCCCGACTCAACTCGACTCTATACAATGACTCGACTCAGTAGGATGTCACAATATATATATATACACACATGTATTTCTGGTGACCCTTTTATTCCTACTCCTACTCCTAGGTCTTGGCTGAGGGAAAAAGCGATATAGAAAGCGATATATACACACATTTTGATTCCTTCTTTTTAAAATGTGTGTGAGTCCCACTTGAGTGGGCACAGACACAACAAATCTCCCCCTGCACACTCAAGTGGGGACATTAGCTATCATAGTCCCTGCAACTAACCAACAATATTCGACTGTCACAAAATATTTGATGTCGTTCTTGACGAATTCCGAGTTCATTCAAGAATTTCTTCAGCCACAGCAACTCCATGCACGCTTCAGTAATCTTGACTATCACGACATGGCTCCCCCTGCAAATGTGATTGGATATCCTGAAAATCCATTTCACTGCAGTCCAATGTTCCTTTCCAAAATTTGAAAGAAACCGACTCACTACTTCAACTGAGTGAGCAATATCTGGGCAATATCTGGCCGTGTACAAACCATGGCATACATCAAGCTTCCAACTGCAGAAGCATATGGAACGTTTTCCATTTCTTCATTGTGATATCCCGGGATCGGGGCACAACACCTTAAGCGAATCCCACATCGGCTACGTACAAGGTGGAAGTAATGTACAAAAGATTGGCAGGCCTTGAACTAGTGTGACGCGTTTTGGGTTGGCAGAGTGGGTGATCCCCTGGCCCAGGAACAAAACCGCATGGGAGATAGGCCCAAAGCGGACAATATCACACTAGGGCTGGGCTGTTACATTCCTTCTCTCCATCTGTAGAAGGGCACTGTTTAGAACTCAATTTAAAGTGATTAGTAAGAGGACAACTAACCGCTTTAGCGTTTTCCATTTTAAACCTTTGAAGTACTTTCTCAATGTACTTCTCCTGTAACAACCATAATTTCTTGGCTCTTCGATCTTCATGCCAAGAATTTGCTTTGTCATGCCAAGAATTTGCTTTGTTGGTCCCAAGTCTTTCATGGCCAAAAGACTATTAGCTGTATCTTCGAAGCTAGAATTCTGACCAAACAATCAACATATCAACATTTATCAACACATAGAGCAAAAACAATTATAGTCATCATCAGAGAATAGAAACACAGTGATTCTGAAAGTCAGGTTCTTTCTGTAGCTTTGCTTCCCCCCCATAATAGACTCAAACTTCTTGTACCACTGTCTCAGTGCCTGCTTCAAGCCGTACAGGCTCTTCTTCAGTTTGCAAACACAATCTTCTTTTTCTACGAAACCCTCTAGCTGCTCCATGTATATTTCTTCTTCCAAATCTCTATGTAGGAAGGTAGTCTTTCTATCCATTTGCTCGATTTCCAGTTCAAAAAACTGGCGGCCGTTCCGAACACTGTTCGAATGGATGTCATTTTCACAACTGGTGAAAAGATCAAAATTCAATACCGTTTCTTTGATTGAATCCTTTCACAACCAGTCTATCTTTGAATCGTGTTTGGGAGTTGTGTTCTTCTTACTTGATCCTGAACACCCACTTGTTCTTCAAAGCTTTTTTGCCTCTGGGCAACTTCACCAGCTCAAATGTTTTATTCTCATGCAAGGACTTCATTTCATCTTGCATAAGGACTTCATTTCATCTTGCATGGCTTCAATCCAATTCCTCTTGTGTTCATTTTCAATAGCTTCTTCAAAGCTTTCAGGTTCTCCCCCGTCAGTCATTAGTACATACTCATTGACTGGATATCTAGTAGATGGTTGTCAGACTCTACTACTTCTTAATGTTTGGAACCTCCGGTGCTGGTTGGGTTAACATGAACACCATAATCTTCATCTGATTCATTTTCATTAGGAACTTCTGGATTTTCTAACTCTTGGCACTTATTCTTATTGGAACAATTTTCTTCATTCTCAATTTGTCTGCGTTCTATTGGAGGACTCTCTGTATGTTTTGTTAGAGTTCTTCATCAGATCTTATTTGGCCCACTTTGCCTTCAATAGTCTGATCTTCAACAAAATTATAGGCATCGCGGATTTCTTATAATCGTCTTCTGGATTGGGTCATTAAAACCTATAGCAACATTGGTCATTAGCCATAGCCAATGAATACAACACTGTCTAGTCTTGACATCAAGCTCGCACCGTTCATCCTTTCGGGACATTGTTACGAAGCTTTGCAACCAAACATTCGGCAAATGATCATAGGAAACATCCTTTTACCTAACCGTACCTTCTCATGAGTTCATATGTTAGAGGGAACAGACGTGAACGGCGAACTGCTGTGAGTAACGCTTCACCCCAAATCTTTAGACAATTTTGCATATGAGAGAAACATCTGACTCTCTTCCATCAAAGTTCTGTTCATCCTCTCAGCAAACTGTTCAGTTTGCGGCATCTTGGAAGGTGTCGTTTGATGTCGAATTGCCATGCTCTTTGGCAGAAAGCATCAATATGGCGAAAGCATCAAATGGCCAGTGTATTCTCCACCATTATCTATCCTGATACACTTCAGCTTCTTGCCTGTCTGTCTCTGAACCAGGTTTAGAAGACTTCAATATGAATACCCAAGTCTTCCTAGATTGGTCATCGATAAATATCACAAAATATCTATTTCCACCATATGACATCGTCAATGGTCCACACAAATCTGAATGAATCAGATCTAATACACTCTTCATTCTAAAAGGATGGGTAATCTTGAAAGCTACTCTGTTTAGCTTTCACACCATACAATCAGGACACTTGTCTAGGTGAACTTCATCCAATCCAGGTAGTACATTCTTTCTTGCTAGAGTTTTCTTACTCATGTGGCATAGTCGTTCAGTTTATGCCACAATTCAAATGTTACTGTCATTCCTTCTGCTACACTCAAAGTGTCTTACGAGAGTTTCGCATGCATCACGTTACCAAACTTCTCAGTCTTTAGCTACCCACCAAATGAACCTTTTGTGAGTTTTCCACTGACCATTTCTGAAAGGTGCTACAGAAACCTTCATCATCAAATCTACCAGACCGAGTCTACCAACCGAGATTTGGACGCATGCTCGAAAGCCCATTCCTCATCAGTCTTGTCTTCCGGTTTAGTTGAACTAAACACAGGCAAATGCATTTGATTACCATAAGGAGATCTCTCATTTCTCCATATATGGTCATTCTCGCCATTTAGACTGATCATTTTGCTTGTCCATTTTGACTTTGCGCAGAAAATCATCACCAACATAAACCATATACGTGAACAGCAGTATACGTGAATAGTGACCATGAATAGTAATAGTATACTCGAATAGTAACTGTATGCATAAATAGTAACTGTAACACGTGAATAGTACTATGCGTGAATAGTGCTGGGCGCACTTGAAATGGACTCAGCAACAGTAACGCCAATAGTACTGTTCACCATCAACTATGAGTTACTATTTTACTATTCATCACTAAGTCGATTCTGCAACGTCTTTCCGATTCATCACTAAGTCGATTCTGCAACGTCTTTCCGAGCGGACAACACCAGTGGACTTGTCGTAATTTTCTCTTCGTCATGGTATATTTATTTTCAAAATATATCCACGGATCCGGTACTGCTATTTGAATGGTTGGACCTGCCGAAACCTTCAGCTCTGATACCACTTGTTAGGCATCAGCTCTGATATCAGTTTTTGGACATCAGCTCTGATACTACTTATTAGTCCCTTCAATCAATTAAGAGAAAATTAACGCAGCGAAAAAATAGAAATGAGACACACAGAAATTTACATGGTTCACTCTCAACTGTTTAGGGCTACGTCCACGGGACAAACTCCGAATAATTCTTCCATTATTAAAAAATAGTAGGTACCGAATAATTCTTCCATTATTAAAAAATAGTAGGTACACAAAGAGAGTAATACAAAAATAGTGACACAAAAAGTATTTTCCAAAACACTCCAAAATAATTTCCTCACTATTTTTCTCTCCCCTATTTTAGGAAACCCTTCCTAAAACTAGATATCTCTCTATATTTTTTTCTTCTTCTTCTACTGTGTGTGTGACTGCATCTGCCTCTATTTATAGGCAGGAACGCGTTTAATGAGCAGTGTACAACTCATTCAAGTTGCACCGCCACTTTACATTTTGTCAAAAACGCCCGCCAACATTGATTCCTTCTTTTCAAAATGTGTGTGGGTCCCACTTGAGTGGGCACTGACATAAACACAAAAGCCATTTTAAATACAATGATTTTTTGCATTCTTTTTTATTATGATTTATGAATTTAAAAATAATGGCTTTTGATATTTTTTTTTTTATGAGTTTTACAGTTTTTGAATATTGTTATTTATGTTTTTACTATTATTTTTTCATTGTCAATTTGCGCTGCTAGAGCTACATCGACACATGATCATAAAGGTAATATCGTGAATAGACAAAGAACTTCAGTGGTAACAATATCGCTAGATAATTATATGCCCACACTAACGTACTTCAATTAGCATAAAATTTAAGTTTTCCAAAAAAAAAAAAAAAAAAAAAAAAAAAAAAAAAAAAAAACAATTAAAATTTGCCACATGAGGAAAAAAAAAAAAAAAAAAAAAAAAACATAAAATTTGCCACATGAGGAAACCTCTACCTCGATGTTTCATTTCATACATTTTAAACCGTATGTATATATAATAAATAATTCCTCTCGTACTTCAATTACCAAGTCTAACTAATTTCTCTGACAACCACCATGACTTGCTGTCCACTGTGATCCACATCCATAGCAAAACTCGAACTTGCACCTGCAATTATATATCATATGCAGGATTATAGTTTAAAAGAAAATGCAACTTGTTTACTTGCTCAAAATCGATTTATTGAATTTATAAAATGAACTTTTTTCATTTACAGCACTAAATACAAACTAATGTATATAATTTTAATCAAAGGCAACATAAATTGAAGCTTAAATTTCGTTGAACCGGTGTTTAGTTTAGCTATTTAAAGCTGGTTAATTGACGCTTAAATTCTGACAATAAAGTTTACATATTTGGTAAACGAGAAAATATCATTTGCAAATAGGCACATTAGGTTTGGTAATTTTGGTACTATTTCGTAATTTTTTAAAATTTGTTTTTTAGTTTTCTTCCCAAGAGTCTAGGTATTAGTTGTTATAATAAATATCAGCTATTAATTAAATATTTATTATTCAGCAGAAATAGTTGTTTAATTAGCTTTTAAATATAAATTATTAGTATAGAAAAATTTGATTAATTATTGTTAAAACGCTAACCAAATAATTTAAAAAGGATACCTTTAACAATGTTGCCAAATAAGTTTAAACCAAACACCCCTACAGTTTTTGACAACCCCTAATCATTTTCTTATTTAAAAAACTTTATTTGGAAACTTTTTCTCATTAGCTAGTTGCTAATTTTATTTTATGTTGTATTTTTTTTGAACTCAATAACCTTTATTAAATTTATTAATGAAAAAATCATACTTCTTCTAAATTAAATTTTGATATGATTAAAAACTATTAAAAATAATAAATTATTAACAATACTGTATTTTAATTAATACTAGAAGAATTACTATTTATAAGCAAAACAAATTTATTTAAACACAGAATTTAACACAGAAATCGAATCAGTAGTATACTAACCTGCATGTCATATGTGGGCAACCTTCCGTTCTTTCAACAAAGAATTTACAGTGAGGACATCTACTCCATTTCTTATCTCTAGCAAGTTCCATAACCATCAAATCTTCCCTTCCTCTTTCATCCTCCTTCAACCACTGAAACACTTCACACTCAACTCCAGAATGCCAAGGCACATAACACTGAGCACAGAACAATCTATGGCAAAACGGACACTCAGATTCTCTAATAGCTTCTCCTCCTCCATTATCATTCACCAAAAGTGCAGAACAATCCTTAAAAGGACAATAAAACTTCTCAGATTCGCTTATCATCTCCTCGCATAGGATTTCCTCCCAGATATCAATTACTCCCTTGGAAAGCTGAGATCTGCAAATGTCAAGTTCGAGAATTGCTGGGCAATTCATTCCTGGACAAGTAATAATAGTACAAGCACTATCTTGAATTTTTGTAGCCACATGTTTGCTTATACAATCGGAGCAAAAAGAGTGAACACAGCTATCGATTTTGAACATTTGGTCGATTTCTTTTCTTTCTACACAAATTTCGCAAAAACAGAGCGAAGATTCGCCGGTTTCTTTAGGATTTGGCTCTGGAGATAGTTCAATCATCGGAATTGATGATGAAATTTTATTTTCCATCTGAGAAATTATCACCGCCCCCATTAATGCCTCCTGGAGTTGTAATTCCTCGGCGTATTTGGCATCGGACACTGGAAAAGCTTCCATCGGACCGTTTTCTTCATCGTCGAAGAGAGCAGATAAGTAGAAATCATCAACCAAATCAAAATCAAAGACAGTTTCTTTTGCCATTGCAGAGAACTAGTCAATGGATTAATGGAAATGAGTTAGATTGATAGAGAATTCTTCTTCCTTTCTCTGAAAGTCGGAGCGACTTTAATATATAAAAAGAGCCTATGGATTTACAAAGCGACTTCGCCTCGAAGGAGTCTTTCTTATTGGAAACTACTTTCTGAGTAACTTTAAGTTTTTGTCCCTTTAGATTTTTTTTTTTTTTTCCTTTGCTGCTTTTCTTTATTTGTTTGTATTACTGTTAGTCTAATTAGTCTTTTTTTTTTTTTTTAATAACACGAAATCACATTATGGTATTTGATTTTTAATGTGCAGTTGTTATATTTATTCGTTTTCTTTTTTTTTGAAGGGAGTTGCTATATTTATTCATTAGACATACTTGTAATTTAATTATATATATATAATTATAAGTCATCTGTCTTATTAAAAAATTTTAAATTTTATCAACAATGTATTGATTAAAGTGGTTAGTAACTTCAGTCCCCGCAAGTTTCACTTTGCTGGAAAAGCCAAAAACCTTTAAAAAAATTTAAATTTAAAATAATTATATAAGAGATATGATTGGTTTTAAATTGCAATTGAAAAATAAAAATTACTGTATTTACATATATTTTTGAATGACTTGATAGATATGTCAATTGATGGTTTTTCAAATTGTTGGACATTTAATTAATCTTTCAACATCATCAAATATGGTTTTTCAAATTGTTTTCAGATTCCTATAGGATTTCTGCAACATATAGAGGCATTAATGGCTAGATTCTGTGGGCTAGAGAAAAGATGAGAGAAGAATTCACTGTGTTAAATATAGTGGATTAAGTAAATCTAAAGGGCACGATGGTTTGGATTTTCAGGATTTAAAATCTTTTAATCAAGCTATACTAGCCAAGCAGGGGTGGAGGCTGACAACTAATGAGGGTTCTCTCTTTGCTCGATTATTTAAGCGAGACACTATCCCAATAGCTCATTTCTCGAAGCTAATATTAGTTATCGGCCAAGTTATATTTGGCATAGTATCACACATGCACGTTGGCTGATAGACTAAGGCTATAGATGAATTGTAGGGAATGGTGCTAGAACATGAACATGGAAGGATCGGTGACTGTCAAATTTCACCAATGTCTTAATTTTCTTATTGGAATGGAATTTCTGATCCTAATGACACTATTAGTTCTCTAATTGATCATAAGTCTTGTTGTTGGAGGACGGATGAGATACAAGATACGTTTTCTCAATCTGTTACTGATGGTCAAATCAGACTTTCACCTCTTCGTTCTAATGATATTTTATCATGGCTTCTTACCAAGGGTGGGACATTCTCGGTTAAAACAACATATTTGATAGGCCTTAATCAGGCCTATTGCGAAGAGGCTTCGATGTCTTCCCTGCTCAGCTGCTACCCTTCCTTTGTGGAAAAGAATTTGGAAACAAAAGATTTCCCCACGAGTTAAACATTTTATGATAGAGCCTGTAAATCGCAATTGCCTGTGGATTTCTCTCTGGCACGTTGTGGAGTGCAGATCGATCGTGTGTGTAATAGATGTGGTTTAGTGGAATGCAAATTGATCTTTTACTCGACAATATGTAATATAATTAACATTGAAAAATAATATAAAAATTTAATAATGTAAAAGATATTATCATGTATCCAAATAAAAGTAGCATACATTATATAAAAGTTCAAAAAAAATTAAATTCATACTTTTCAATAATCTCAATGTCTTCAACATCAAATATATTAAATAATTAAAATAAAGAAATCTATTGCTAGATTATACAAATATAAAATACATATATATAATCCTGAAAAAAAAAAATCTTTAAAAAGTTAGATATAGCACTTTCATGTTTGAGTTTTTTTTTTTTTCTCTTTTTTTATAAATTTTCTAAATTTTTAATAATTTTTTAGCATTCTATTCTCATATCGATGTATACCTATATTTAAAATCTAAATTTTTGAATAAGTAAAACTTAAAAATTTTTGAATTGTTGAATTTAAAACTTGAATCTTTTGAAGTTTTGAATTTAGAATAAAAATTTCTCAATTTTTTTTTCATCTATCTACCTATATATGTGTCTATATATACCTCTTTCAATGATTATTTTTACAATAGTTTTCTTCTTTATTTTGTCATTTTTTTCGATTATTTTATTTTTAATTTTCTAGGTTTGATTTTTTTTTTTTTTTTTCATGTGTATATTATTGTTGTTTTTCATATTTTGATTAGTAAAAGAATGAAAATGACAACGTCAATCCGCATCTTTTTTTGACTACAATAACGCTAACTCTAGTTTTTTTTTTCCCCTTCCTTTTCTTTTACAGAATTTTTTTACTTTATGAAATGATACATATGCAAAAAAGTGGATATAGAGGCAAAGATAGAAGCAAGGAAAAGAAAGAGATAAGTAAACAGGACCGATATTAATTAAATCTTATTATTTCGATCACTTATTTTTTATCTTTGTACAATTAGTTAATTAGTTGTATGGTGTTGAATATGTTTGTTAGGAGTTTTTTTTTTTTAGTTTGTTTGTGTAGTTTTTATGCTTATGAATGAAAGGTCAATTTTTATTTATTATTTTTTAAAATAATTTTTATTTATTATTGTTATTATTGTTATTTTACTCTTTTTTTTTTTATTTGGTTTGCATGCTAAGGTAGCAGGTTAAAGAGAAATCTAAACATTAAATTTAATAAATACATTTAAAATAACAAAACGAGCTTATAATATAACATTTGATAAATTAAAAAAAATAAACACATTTAATAAATTAAAAAAATTGAGATACATAATATTATTGTCATTTAAATTTTAATTTAATTATCTAAATATTAGAAAATTATATCTAATGATTATAGTATTCATTTACGATAATTATCTATATCTACATTCAATTTTAAAACTTTTTATTGGATCATTTAAGATATTTTTTAGGTTTAAAAATTAGTACTTATTTAAAATAATTATCTCTATATTGAAATTTGATTTTTGATTGTTTTTAGTTTTATATTCGACTATTTAATTTTTTTCATCCATGTATTTATAATAATTTTATATTTTTATATCTATGTCACGACCCATTTCCGTGGGCCGGACCGGCACTAGGACCTGGGTGGGCTTAAGGCCCCCGAAACCCGTAGTAAGCCTAACTTATTTAAATCTCTAGTAAGCCTAATCTTATTTAAATAACTCACATCTAAATCATAATATGGAATTCAGGCCCATTTACTTATATACATAAAAATACAGTTCATATAATTTAAATAAGGACTTTTTATTATTTATTTACCAACGCCAGACTGGAAATACAATTGGCGGAACATCTACCTTTAATATTGTAAACATCGTTATTTTCTATCATTAACAAGTCTTCTACAATAAAGTGGTCTCAAAACCCATAGGGCCTTTCCGCTTTTCTTTCTATACTGAAAAAAAAATAGTAGGCAGGGGTGAAGCGCCACTCAATGAAGTAAGGGTTAGGATAAACCCTCTCACCCCAACACAATCACACAGTATGCTAAAATAATTTTTTATCCGGTTACCGTTTAATTATAAGATCATGCAAGTTTGTCACACAAATGGCAGATACAACAGCAATCACAAGTATTAATCACCTCATATAATCACAGTCAAACGTGGAATTAATCAGTGGAGTCACCGAACCCCGATGAGCCCGTCCTCCAACATGGCTTCATCCTCTCACGTTGCACCAGCGGAGCCAATCCCCTAATTCTGGCCCGACCGGTTCAATCCTCACACAACCAGTCCTCCTCATTATTTTTTCAGTCCTTTCTCTCTTTTTTTTTTTTTTTGTTATTTTTTATTTTTATTATTATTATTATTATTTTTTTAACCAACAGGTAGGCAGCACCAGCGGTCGTCTCCATCAAATCTTAAGATCATCAGGCGCTCACAACCAGGAGGCCACCCTGCGGGCTGCGATCCAAAATCTAGATTATCAGGTGCGCCCAATAAAGAAGCCAAACCTGTGAATTTCAGTTAATCTCTTCTCTTCTCTTCTTTTTTTTTTTTATACCAACAGGAGGCAAACCCGGTCGCTTCATCAAAAATCTAGAATTTCAAGCGCTCACAAACAGGAGGCCACCCTGCGGGCTTGCGAATCAGATCCTAGATTATCAGGTGCGGCCGCCCAAAGAGACCAACCCGTGGTTTTTCCCATAATCAATACAGATCAAACAGTAGAATGCAACAACGGGGGCGCCGACTCCTCCCATTTACCCGGCTAACAGAAATCAGAATCAGGATCCATATAACAGAAAACAGTCTCAGCAAACCCATGGTGACCACTTCCATCCCAATTCCACACAAACAAGGCACAGTATACAGTGGATATCACGCCACATTCACAGCTAATAAAAGCAATACAAATAGTGCCATTCACGATATGGCAAATTCAAACAAAATAATGCCATGAAACATTTAGCCGTGAAATGCATGAATGCAGTGGATGGAATAAGTTATCTAACACTACTCATCAGTCCTTTATTGTCCTTTAAAGGAACTATCTTTATTATGGCAAAGCTTCCAAGCCATTTTGTCTCCACCTTTCCGGAACTTAATAAACATCTAAACAAATAAGAAAAATTCTACCATTAGAGGTCCTAATTCAAGAAAACGTACTTTTAAACCTAATTATTAATTTTTGTTTACCTATTCATTTTACCTCACGATATCAAACTAGACTGAATATTTTTTTCCCTATATTAATATGTTTTCCCTATTTTATTTATTTATTCTAAATTTATAGCCTATAGATAAAATTTCTAGTTATAATAATAAATAAGATATTCCTAATATGCCTATAATGAATCATAATACCTAAAGTTTTAGTCGTTACTTACTTATTAAAAATATAACTAATTTAATTCTTCATTAAAGTGTTAATAAAAAAATGATTCGGCATCCGCATTTCCCTCCTATAAACTGGACTATCCAAATTTTTACATAAGGCCACATGTCAAACACATAGCCCATCCATACGGGCAATTCACATAAACTAATCCCATCCCGCGCAATAAACATTAATTCAATCCGTCCATTCAATTCCACACAGTCCCTATAATTAATTGTTCTACTGGATATTTATTTGTTAATAAAATTCCCTAAAATTTAT